AGTCAATCACTGATGCCCGAGGCGCCCCCAAGAAGGAAATGCCGAGAGAACTAGACTGGTTTAGGTTTCAATTCCAAGTAAACGTGGGACTTCCTTTTTAAATCCGGTCATGTGCCATATTTCGTTCAAGTGGGCGTAAGGAAAAATATTTATGACGGCTGAGGAACAAGAATGAGAACAGATAGATATCATTTATTTATTTGCCCAGGAAGGCAAATACAACACAATATATGTATGTGGTCGTGCGTGAGCGTACGTGTGTATCTCGATAATACAAAGTATTATCAAAAAATATTCAGAAAGTTTAAAGTAAGAAAAAATAATAGAAAAAAAATCAATATTAACATTTTTTTTTTGTTGGAATGGTACCAAAAGACGGGTGAATAACCTACGAGACAGGGGAAACGCTAAGTAATCCATCAGATGAATAGCTTTTAACCATATGTTGAAATTCATTGAACATTTGAGTAGCTCCTCGTATACTAATAAAATGTTTTATCGGTTTCAGATTCAGAAGAATATAAAGATAAGTGATAATTGGTTAACTTTGTCAAGGATTTTCTTTAATAAAACATAAGAACTTCGTATTTGTACTTTGTTATTTCGCATTAAGTATTTCCTCATAGAAAGAAATCAGTTATCCCACATGATTTCAAAAACATTTTGGAAAATCGTCATATTGCTCTATAAGTGTAACGGGAGAGATATATAGAAGAAAGATTTATTCTCTAATTTATTTCCCCTATTATGGGCATTATTATACCCGTGATGTAATAACATAATTCGCGGACGGAACGGAATGACTGAAAGGAAAAAGAATGACAAACATGTTTTGTTCTCAGAGAGACTTTAATACTACTAAGACAGATACAAAACTATATATACATATATACACATATCCCACACAGAGAATAATATACCACATATATCTACACAGCAAAGCAGAGTTTAAGGAGAAACAAAAAGGAATGTTCTTACATATATGGAGATACTCCTGTGTCTGGAGAAGCCATGTTTAGAACTCGAGATTCAAACGGGCTGGATTTATCTATGTCCCAGACATATTCCACAAACCGGAAACAGCGAGTCTTGGGTTTTCCTAAATTGAAGACTGCGAGCTGGAGTTTCTTTCTATATCTGAGAAAGATATATTCCCAAAGGGAAACAGCGCCATCTGTTTGTAAGCTGCTGGGGGAGGCAGATTTAGCCTCAGCTTGGATCCCTTGGCCCAGGCTAAAAGAAAGCAACCTTCAGCAAAACTGAATTTGTCAGCCGCTTTTGTCACTGTATGAAGTGACATCACTAAGCGGTCGTCACATGACCCACGTGACTTATCTCCAGCAAAGGGAGATAAGCGCCTTCTGCATCCCTACATAAGAAAATATTGAAGACATGCAACTGATTTCTTTTAAATTGACACCATTAGATCTCTTCGCTTTGAAGGTGTTATGAAGTGTGCCAATCTTTGTGTTTGATCAGCGGTAGTCGTTTATCTCACTCTGTCTTTACTGTTTGGACATTTATATAGTCTATGCCTTAGCTGAGCTAATTAGGCAGTCATTTATATATTACTACAGAAGGAAAACACTGATTTAAAACACTCGCTGCCTTGCAAATGACCCACTCATTGGGAAAGGTCTCTGGAATCAGATGCGAGTTAAAACCCAAAGTTCCTAAAGTAGTTCATGGCTGTATTTAGCAACCTCTTGGTACCAATTATGACAGTGCTGGAAACGTGTGTCGGCATTTGTGTTTTCATTGAACCATTTTAGTGACGTGAGGAAGTGGGGGGGGGTCCTACACCATGGGTGACTATCCTCCATATCTGCCAATCCAGGGTCTTGTGCGCTGTAGAGACAGGAAGAAGCAGTTTGGACGCATCCAGAATATGAATCTCCTATGTGATATCTGTTCTTCTGTATGACAGTGAGTACCGGATGATCTCCTCAAAAATGAGAAATCAACAGAAATGTGGTCATACAGAAGGATACTGAGGATATCGTTGACAGAAAATATGAGCATCGACGAAGTTTTGGAGAAAATGGAAATAAAAAGGAAACTAATACTTAACATCAGGAAGATACAGTTGAGATTTCTGGGGCATATAATGAGGAAAATGGGCTTGGTAAATCTGATACTCATAGGACAGATAGAGGGAAAGAGAGACAGAGGAAAACAACGCATAACTTAAAAATGATGGAGGAGCAGGAGAAATAACAGAAAGACGAAGTTTATTAAGAGCTACAAGGGATAGGTAGTTGTGGAGAGCCGTGATCGCCTACGTCCTGAAGGTATACGGCACATAAAGAAGTCTCCTGAGATTTCGTGAAAATAACCAAATAAAATTGAACTCGCTATGGTCATTGAAATCATTTCAAAATTGAGTGGGAAACAAATCATGATTAAAACATTTAAGGCTAAAAACATTTAAGGCTAAAAAAATGGCAGTAAGTAAATCTCGTTTAAGGCTAAAAAATGGCAGTAAATAAATCTCGTTTAAGGCTAAAAAAATGGCAGTAAGTAAATCTCGTTTAAGGCTAAATAAATGGCAGTAAGTAAATCTCGTTTAAGGCTAAAAAAATGGCAAGTAAATCTCGTTTAAGGTTAAATAAATGGCAGTAAGTAAATCTCGTATCTGACTAATCAACATATTTTATCAAATATTACAACAAGCAGGACTTATGATAAACATATTCAAAATCGTAACTATGATCTGAAAATAAAATGTGAGCAGTGCTGGTACACACCCTGAAAACCATCATACAAATTCAAAACGTAGAATACCTCGGTGTAAGGATCACTTCTAACAAATTTAGTAGAGGAGATAAGGAAACTGAATACAAGATAGGTTGCTCTAGAATAGTGATTCTCAACACTAGTATGCCGCGTGATTCTCTTAAGTTTGTTGCGAAATATTGAAGAAATCGCGAAAAAACACCAGGCACAGATTTCACACTAAAAGATCCCGACATCTATCAGAAAGATGAAATTTAAATTCTTATTATTGCATTATTCCAAAATTTTAACACATCAGCAGATAGCTATTAATGTCAACAACTGAGCACAAATAGTTATTAATTTTAAAAAATTAGTAATTAATGTATATTATCCACAACTAAACATACAAGAATGTCGTTTTTGCTAAAGTTAAAAAATAATCATAAATATGTAAAAAATGGATATATTGTAGAAAATTCCTTTTTCTACAATATAGCAATTTGTGCTGTTATAATGCTTATTACCTAAACAATAATAATAATGAATAATATTTTTTTAAATATTGAAGTATATTTAATCATATCGCCTGAATAGCTGTCGCGATCTATAAATAAGCTGCACAAATAGTTGAACAGAAACATTGAAATAAAGTAAGTTCATATTTCTCACAAATAATTTGTATGTGTATTTTTAAAAAAATCTATGGTTTTATTTCATAACATTTAAATGTATGCCCTTTAAAACTTTTGCTAAGCGAGCCGTGATATTTTAATTTGCTGTTGCTTAAAAAGGTTGAGAAATTCTGCTCTCTGGGTATTTTTGTACAACAACGTAAGATGCTACAAATCCACCATATTAACATGAAAACTCGAGCCATGAGCATTCATCTGATCTAGACTTTTATATGGATGTTTTGCATAGCGCTCAACTCCCTATCATCTGTAAACAGCCATTTTCAGCGAATAAAAATGGTTACAAACAAATTAATCCTTTAAATCCTAAAGAAAACGATTCTTCTTCAGAGTGTATAGATTGGCGCTATAAGTTACAGAAGCTATACCAAATAATAATAAAAAACATTACTTGAACATTTCCAGCAGCAGTAACTACAAAAATAGATAGCACATGTAATTAGAAGAAAAATGATGCCATAATCAAGATGCTGACTTTCCACACTTCTTTAAAACGCGTTGGCTCCCATACGACTAGCCGGAGTATCGTGGTAGTATGTCTGCAAGACACACACAACCCTCCAGTGGGACGTTTTCCAATTTCTTTTCTATGAGGATTATTGGGAGTGGGGTGATATGATTGAATTACTTATGAAATCATGGTACACCAGAACCTCATTTTTGGAAAAAAAAAAAAAAAAAATTTTAATTTTGTGTCTTTTATTTCCTTTTGGGTCAATTTTTTTTAATTATTTTTACATACACGGAGCTGCACCCTGCATTCAGGTAAACTAAAAGATTGAGTAAACAGAAAATTTAATTGGCAAAACATTATGAAATTTTTAAAAAGTAGGCTTCATTCACTTAGGAAACAAAACAATGCCTACAACCAGTAAAATAAAGACAAGAATTCTAATTTATTAGACATCATATTCCTAATAAATTAAAAAAAAAACATCATTCTTCTAATGAAATGTCTGATTTCTTGAAAAGAGATAAACGAAAAAATATAAAAGTAAATATTGCTATACTACTAAGAAAAGTTGAATTGATTTTTATTTTATATTTATAATGTTTCTTATTGAAACACTCAAGGCAAAAGGAAGGGTTACCTTTAGAGGCTTGAAGCCATCATGTTGAACAAAAGGTTTGGAAAGATACTATCATCAATATTAGAAAGAGCTATAAAAGTTAGTGGCCTTTAGAAGTTTAATTAACTGAAAAAACTGGTTTGGGGGGAAAAGATTTCATAAATTTCAACAGTTACGCTGTTTCTTTCAATGAATGCCGAAAGTTTGTTAAATGAAAACAGCTAATCTCACCGTCACCATTACAATTTCACTTGTGTAGGGTACTAAATAAGGAATAATTGGTCATTGAGTAATGGTTAACATGCTGATCTAATAGATCATTACTTGTCACCTCAGTCATACGAAGCTTAGTAAATAAGACTAACTATTTAAAATATTACTGAATTTCCAGATAATAAATTTTCTTTCTCGTCATCAGCATTTAACTTCCGATATTTTTTAAATCAAATTCTCATTAACAATGATGAAACGTTATCAAATTTGTTTTCAACTGTTTCATTTTTTTTAATTTTTTTTTCAGATCCCCGAAACCGTATAATTTCTGGTTGTTATGGAGATAGCATCACTATATCTTGTCAAGATTCTGATGAGATCATTATCGTCAATAGCCTTAAAGTTGGCAGCAAACCGTTACGTTTAAATTGCAGTGTAGATCCAAAACCCAGTGATTGCTGCTCAATGGACAGCGACAATGATTGCATTTTCGACTATGAGAGCAAAGTGTCTTCGGATAAACATGAATTTCGTTTATGCCAAGGGAAAAAGCGGGAATGTCCCATGAAAGTAATATGGGCACAGAACGACGGAAAATGTTCCAGCAGTAAATACGAACGGACTACAAATTACATGGTGGCTAATTATACATGCGCAAAAAGTAAGTACACCACTATACAAAGGTAGCAGGTTTGTTATCATATAACTGTTTAGAAATAAGACAAATTAATTTTATACCATCTAATGTTAACAACAAAAACAACTCCCGTAAGATACTTACATTTTTGAATGAATTCATAGCATATCAGGGGTTAAATATAGAAATTACTATGAACTGAGTTCCATTCGAGATTAGTGAGGTCCATTACGGTCATGCAGTTAAAAATCTGATATTTAATCAATGTCTTGATAAAAGGCTTTACTGAAACGGTCATGTAAAATCATCGTAAATGATAAATTAGTACATATGTTATGTGGGTAATGAAAAATTTACAAATACTAAACTTATTGCAAGCAATAATTATTATATTATATATTATTAAATATAATTATTATTATATAGTAATAATATAATAAACAATTACTATTATTATTATTATTATTATTATAGTAAGCATCGTTTATCTCCCAAGATAAAGGTTGAAGTGCCCTGTTTGGTCAAAATTCAGCCCTTTGGTGGTGAGACTAGAGTGACCTCGCCAGGGCGCAGACCTGGATACTGGTATATAGAGGCCATGGGCTGACCAGACCACATCTTCCGCCACTCGGTCGTCATTATTATTATTATTATTATTATTAATTATTATTATTATTATTATTATTATATTTTTTGTACTGAGCTAAATTTTATAAAAACAATGGTTATCTAGGAGTTAAAGATTCAATGTCCTGAGCCAATGACAGGATAAACGCAGGTGGATGTATAATTTTTTATGGCAACCGAGAAGTCAGAAAATTTTTCTTTCATTTTTTTACGGATGTAATAAATTCGGTAATATTATTTACATTTTAAGAAGATTTTGTGAAACCATCTTTAATATTCGAAAAATAAAAGAGTAGCAACCATTTCGAACATTGAGCGTTAGTACTACAGATAAACTTGCAGATTATGTGCAAATATATTTTCACAGTTTTTATCAAAATACGTTTCATTCGCAACCTGTTTCTCGTCCGTGCTACCAGAGTATCATTTATGCCGAAATGTGTTTTATAGCCGCCACCAACTGAAGAATGTCAGATTTTTCATTTAATCTCTAAAAGTGGAAATTTTTCTTCAAGCGATTGGCTATTTATGAATATCATTGGCTTGGCACATACATCGTTGCTTCATTATATAAAATAGATTATTACTTAGTTCAAGTAATGTATTTCCATAACGCAGTTCAAGTAAATTGTATCCCCAATACATTTTCTTTAGTTATACTAGGCATTCAAGTGCTGCTCCTTTTGCTCGCTAATGAAGAAAACTATAATTTGGTACATCAATCACTTTAATTTAAGTATCTCCACTAATTCGCCGAAAAACAGCATGCCATGATGAAAAAAAGCGCCAAATTTGATGAAAAAAATTTTATCGTCTAAATGTTTATGCTATTACTAAGAGTAAAGACCAAAGTATTTTTTGATTTTCTTATTAAATTTGTCCATCCTTTTTGGAACATTCGAAATTTTGATTAAAATCTTGTTTTTCTTGCCTCTGCGGAATACCATTAAAAGCATATCTTAACCGCAGTGACTTGTTTTTGAGGTGTTAACTGACAGTTACATTGATGTATTAACAGCTTAGGTCAGGTGGGGGGTAGTTATCGGACGGAAGAACAGAAGTGACATAACTTTTTCGAATTTTAAGTCAACTTATTTAACTACAGACTAATTTAAAAAAATTAACAAATACTTTCAGCAATTTTATTAATTTTTTTTTCTTTTTTAGGTACTTTAGCTTTATAGCCATACGTTTGAAGATGATTTCTGGGAAAATAAAATTTAAAATACTAACAATAAAATAAATTTAAAATTTCATGAGTCAAAGTGAGATAAAATTTCATAAGAGAAAAGTACCTAATTTTTACGTTCATCTCTTATGAAAATTTATGGCATTATTTTTATTTCTTATTAATTTTTATATCTCGGTTATGAAAGAATTTCACAACTGAGATGATATAAAAATAATTAAAAATAATACCATAAAATTTCATAAATGAGATAGGTGCCTCATAATTATAGGCACCTCTCATTTTTATGAAATATTTTTTTAATGTGTTAATTTTTAATTTTTTCTTATTTTTAATATTAATTGTTATAATATAACAGTTATGAAAATGTGATTTTTTTAAATTATGTAATCATTTACACTTTTTATTTTATTTAATCATCGTTCACTAAAAATAGAAGTGTAAGAATAAAAACAAAAAACTATGCAATTGATTTCAGACTTTCGTGAAAATTTGGTAGTCCCTTTTCTGAAAATATTCTAACGAAGATATGTCCAAAGCCTGAATCACTATTTCAGGCCTTAAAATTGGAATTAAAAAAGAAAATAATTAATAATTGCAATATGTCTCTCACCGAAAAATAATAAATTAATTGTATTTAAAAAATTAAATTTAAAATATCTAGTGAAATAGGACGTAGAAAAAAAAAAACTTTTGAAAATGCGACGATGATGTTCTAAGTCAGTCCGAGAATTTAACACGAAAATTAAAGTTAAAAACTAAAAAACACGTGACATTAATTATATCACTTACGGTCATCTATATATTTGGAAAAAAGTTTTTATGTACACTCAAAAAATGTGTAAAATTCTTTTTTAAGATGCATGTGTCGGAGATTGTAATAAGCTTTCAAATTTATGATCTTGTAAAGATAAATCTACTTAATAACAGCATTCCCTAAAAGTTACGGATTGAAATTTAATTTCAAAATATTTAACACATTTATCACATTTTGTATTTAAAATTAAAAAAAAAAAAAAAAGAAAATAATTCTGTAAAAATTCATTTTCATCTAAAAATATTTTGACTTGAGACAATATTTTGTTCTTAACATACATTATCTATAAAAACCATTAAAAGCTTTTCGAATTCAATAGTCTTAGTTTTATTGGGTTTTATGTTACAATTCAGAGCTGATTTTCAGTAACTGTGTAATTGTATTTTACAAAAAATTCAATTATCTATATTCTTCAAAGTCTTCTGCTTTTAAATAATAACATCAATAAAAGCTACGCTGTTGAATTTCTCAAGTTTTCATAGAATTAAGTAAGGGGAGGGTAACAAATGAAGAAAAATATTTTTACCATGACTTTCTAAAAAAACATGTTTAAAATAATTTCATTCATTTGTGAATAAGTTCTAAAAGTTTCATTAAAATCCGACAATTATTTGAGTTTTGCAGAAATTTCCAAGTCAATGTGTTTTTAACGCCAAAAAAAGACGCTAAATTTCCTAATGCTAAACTTTGGCGGACTCGCCGACTCAAAAAAAATCATGATTTTTAACCAAAATTTAGAACGTGCTATAAAGGATGAAAAAGTTAATAAAATAATAAAAAAAAATACTTTGGCCTTTCCTCTTATTAATAATATAAATATTTTGACGATAAAACATTGTTTTCATTAAGTTTGGAGCATTTTTTTTATCATGGTGTGCTGTTTTTTGTCGAATTAGTGGGGGATATCTACTTTAACTGCATCTTAATTAGTAAGAGTTTTTAATGAAAAGAACTACATTGTGCTGACATATGGCTTAAAATGACTAAAATCAGCGATTTTTAGCGACTTAAAAAAACTCCTAACTGTCAAGTTATTTAGTTTTGAAGTACAGCAAAGTGTTTTGCATATTGGAAATATTAAATTTATTTATACGATTAACTTGAAATTGAAACTAAATTAAAAGCTTTCAAGAAAGATTTTTCATTTTAAAAAATTAATTTTAAACCTATGGCGTAATATCATAAAATAAAGTAAAGAATATTGCTCTACTTTTGTATTAAGCCCTCTTTTCAATTGAATGTTACGAATGTCGGAATTGGACTCTATTCGTTCTCATTTTACATGGATATATATATATATATATATATATATATATGTGTGTGTGTGTGTGTGTATGTATGTATATGTGTGTATGTATGTGTGTGTGTGTGTGTGTATGTATGTATATGTGTGTATGTATGTATATGTGTGTGTGTGTGCGCGCGCACCCGCATGTGAAGTCCGTTTATGTAATTATGTATTTTTTAATTGAAGAATTTATGCTTAAATTGTTGCAAAGAAAATGTCAATGGTTAAACTCTGACCCTCCTGATGATCGTATAACTGCGTAAAAAATACTAGTCTACACATAACCCTTCCATTACAATCCCTCAATAATTTCATATTCATGTTCTAATGACAGTTAAGCAATTTGCAGACAAATTATTTTTCTTAAATTTCTGCAAGAATTATTAGCTGAATATCGATTTTCAGATACAGTTCCAGACTACTAGTTAAAATAAATTTGTTAAAAATAGAGAACCTATACGCCTAGACCTGTGTAAATAAACGTTTATGCAGCTATCGTTATTAAGTTTTACTTATTCGACCTTGGGAAAAAATAAACTATTTTAATTCATAGTGGCATAATATATGCTTACCAATCTTACTTTTTTGCTAATTCTGTTTTTACCACTTTTAAACGGCGAAAACCGGACGTATGCACAAGGTTGCTGCGATTAAACAAAAGAGAGATACGAGTCTTGTTCGTGTTATTGGAATTTTAATACTAGACAGTATTTTTAAGCAATAATAACATGAACAAAAAAGTATCAATTGAAATTCTTATAATTCTGGCCAACTCAACATTTTTAATCAGAGACATTTTCTGTTCTCTGACGCTGTCGTTCATTTAAGAGCATGTTTACCTTTCATATATAACTGACAGACCGACTGATCCAATTTTCTACAACCCCTGAACACTCTCACTTATCATTCCGTTCAACAAACACAGTTTTTCACTGATAATTGAAAGGAATATGTGGATGTTGTAGGAGTGCGATAAAATGAAATGAATGAGTAATTTTTATTTCTTTCAGTTAATCATTTCTCCCCCCCACACCAACTCTCTCTCTTTCTGTCTGTCTATCGCTCTCTCTGTCTCTCTCTCTCTCTCTCCCTCTCTCACTCTT